CGCTGGTGCCTGGGTAAGTAATTTCACGGGGTTGAATGAAATTCTTCATTCAACCCAGCTTCTTTATTACTCGGTTCCGAGTCTGTGGTGTAGTTTGAGCACTGGCTAACTTTCGACAGTGCTGTGTTCGTTACAACAGCGATGGCTGCAAGTGCATTCCTCCCGGCGACATCTCCGAGCAGGGTGAATCTTGCCCCAAGGCATAGATGGGTTGAGGAATTCAGGTGAAGGGAGGCTTTGGCTGTGAGGGGTAGACAGCAACGCAAATGACTAGCACTTATTTTCTCATTGCGAATACGCCACGCTGTTCTTCCGCAACTTTGATCACCACTTCAAGGGTAGTTGAGATCGGCCTCGTGAATCAACTTGGTCTCAGTGTCATATGTCATCACGTACCTGACAAAGGGTGCGGATGACATGTCTCGACAACAAGGCTGCGAGGTAACTCATTATACGTGCCCATTTCTTTTACCTGAATAAACCAGCGAGCATGACCGTCGCACGACATCAAGTCGCGTAGAATGACTAGTTCTAAGTATGGGAAACGGCTCAGTACAGAGGATAAAGCATTTTGTTCATGCAAATATGGCAATAATTATATTTTACTCACAGTGTCCTAAACATTTGTAAAAGGAAGACAGTAGTATTCGGCTGCGAGGTCTCAAGGAGTGCAAGATACCCGAGGGACGGTCGAGGAGACGACAATTGAGCATTTTGTAGATACTGAATTCCACGTCAATCGCCCAGTGATTGATCCGACTACGAGGGTATCTGTCGGGCACGAGATTCAATGAGACATACTAAACAAAGTCCAGGGGTCCCTGATAACATGAGAACAGCTATTTGAAGCTTGAGACTCATCTCACAAAACCAATCCACACGTGCATCTAGCTTATTTGCACCAAGTTTTGTTAATACGCTCAGTCTCCAGCAAACGTGAGTTGACTGATCATCTACAAAACACCCAGGACTAAGTCAAACAGTTTTAATCGAGTTAAACGTATACGGTGAAGCTATTCCTAAAGAACGTTCATTTCATTCCGAAACGGCCATTGATCACATCGTCAAACACTGAAACCCAATCGAAGGCGGGAAGTCCTAACCAAAGACGCACGTCTAGACGACGCTATTAGAACTCCACCGAGGTATCAAAGTAAAGCGAAAGGAGAAACAGAAGTGACAAAGAATACAAATACATAAGATCACATGACGCAAATGTAATCTCCGACGTGTTGAACAAGATACGTTCAGAAGTATCATCAAAGTTACATGAGTTATTGATGAAAGAATGCTGGGAAAGGGGGAGAGTGCCCCTAATCAATGCACTACAGCTTCATTCAAGTCGAAGTCGTCAATCCAGTGGTGACTGTCGATTTTGCGGTGAAGAAGGCGTGGATATCGGGTGTTCGAGTGGGATGGCGCAGTAGGTATGACGGGTTTTGAGCCGCTCGTTGCACAATCTTCTGCAACATTTGGTTCAGAACCTGTGCCGTTACTCGTTCTTCCACGGTTACACGAAGCAAATGCTCCGTGATGAGGTCGATGAGGTCGGCAAATGCCGTGCCTTCTTCGCAACGCTCGTCTCGACGCAGAATGCGAATAGCCTCCTCCACCGCTGGGTGGATTGTAGCCGAGGAACTCTCTTTCTCCTTGTGCAACCTGAAAAACTTCACCTCCGGCTCGTCCCTAGCACTTGCAAAACTGTTGATAGCGTTGAAGCCGTACAGCATCCACACAATGTGTTCAAGAAGAATGCATGCCATGGACCAAATATCATATCGTCTGCCTCTTGGCCGATCCTTATCGACGTACACCTCGGGTGGTTCGTATGATGGGGTAGTCGCTTCAGTAAGTGTTGGCCCATATCTTAATTGAGTTGCCTGTGCGTGGGTTCGAGACACACCAACGTCTGCAACTGCTAGCGTCCCATAACCCCCTCGCTTGAAGTGTAGGATGTTCGCTGGTTTCAAATCTCCATGACGAAAGTTGATACGGTGAAGGCTGCTGAGTGCGCTGGTAATCCCCAACATCTGCTGCAAGGACCATATCATGAGATCGTGATTCGCGTCGTTGTGTTTCCAGAAGTCCCTCAGGTTTCCACCTTCTGCCCAAGGAAAGCTTATGAAGAATGACTTTTCGCAGTCAAAACAGTTAAGATACTGAATGATGTGCGGATGATTGAGACTTTGGATATTCTCTAGATTCTTCCTCTCCTTGGTAAAGTGATTGGCATTCTCCAACTGCTTCACGGCAACAACTAGGTTGGCAGTAAGCCCAGGCTGAATAGTGTTAGTGGTTATCTTTGTGCATTGGCGATGATGAACAACACCCACCAGATGATTTTTTTGATGTGCTGAATGTAAAACGCTTTTGTAGACAATGCTGTGATGGGCGCCCTGCACTACGTCCCCTTTTATGAAAGGTAAGGGACATAGTGGGTTGGCTGTGATGGTGGCTCCATTTGTTTCCACTACCGGCGCAAGGACGAGCCACTGGCTCCGTAGGAACAACTCAACTTTTGGCTCTTCCCATTGTCGGAACGAGTGGACCTCCTTGCTTGGATTGGATGTTCGGATACCTCCTCTGGCCGGGACAGCTGATTCGGAAAAGGGCAGGTCATGGTCTGTGAGGCCTTCCTTCATTAGGTCTTTGATTTTGTGTTTCTCGCCAATGATTAAGAGAATCGCGAACAACTTCTTTGCATCGCGGACTATTCTCGTTGTCATGTCGTCTCGAGATAGCCGACTCCTCCAGCTTCTTGGTAGCTCATGCTTGAGGGTTTCTCGGGTAATAACCCCGTCAATCACGTCGCATGGCAGGAATCTCAGTCCCCCTACTGTGCAATCTAGTGTAGATTTGTTTAATCGTGAGAATAAAGTTGTGGAGTCCATTGTCTGAGACTCCGGGAAAGCTTCTTGCGCCAGTTGGTGGCAAAACTGATGGATGTGGAATCGCGTAGACCGAGATTTGGAGCATTGCCTGAACTGCAAGGCTCGATAGCGGGGGTCGAGGCATAAATGTAAGATAGGTGTCGTCACGCCGGATGCTAGAGCGACACTGAAAAAAAGGCATTCAAACAAGGCATCTATGGATACTCCACGTTCGAGTCTTTCATGGTTGCCTTCCCGTTGTTGCCTTGGACAAGCCACATGGCTCAGCAAAATGGCGTTGACTCAGCCATCGGAAGGGCATGTCACGCATTGCCAATGCCCCAGCCTGATGAGCCATGTATCCAAGAAGCTCGTCAAGATTGGCCATTAGCTGCAAACTCCAACTCCTCTCACACTATTTGAAAAGGGTTGATGGAGAGGGTGTCCTCAGGCCAGCTGTTCGTGCATATCGGAAGTTGGAACAGTCGACTGCACCAATGACAACCGAAAGCACTAATGCATGTCACACATCCAAAAGTCACAGCCTGATTTTGGGTCGGTCTTTGTATTCCCCGAAAGCAGCATAGTGTAAGTAGATAAGGAATGGGAACCCCGCTTCTTGCCAAGACAAGTAGTATGCACCTCATATTGACTGCATGCTCTGCCATTGCATTGCCATCATCAAGCAGGCTGGTTCTGTGCTCTCGGGTCCTTTGTTGGTTGAACCCAGGTTCTCAAGCCTCATTGTCTATGTTGTACTTCCGCAGTTGCGGATGCGAGCATGAACCTACAGTATGCCTCTCATGCCAGATGGTCCGACTCTCCGGGTCGAAAGAGTGGGTTACGCTGACTTTTGTTTCATTTTTCCCATTGGAGTCCCAATTCACATCCCCGGCCATAGATTTGACATGAGAGACACGCCAGAGTCAGATGATACCTTACTCAATAACGCCCATTCCATGATAGCGGTGCTAGTAACTAGTCCGAAGCGTTCTCATGCATGCATGACACCACAGCCCTCAGCAACCTCGGTCAGATCAGACCGGTCTAAGTTTCCTTCATGCGAGCGTATCCGGTTTCTTATCGGCAGAGCCGCGGCCGGTATTGAAAGCGAACCATGCAAACCACATGGTAGCCTGGCGTTGGAGTGGCTGTATACGGTATCCTAAGCCGCATGAGGGTGGGATCCATATGATGACCGTGGTGAGATCACCGGGTCGCATGCATGTGTCAAATCAGGTTGCTCTCAGTGATCGCGTATTTATCCATGTCAATCCCCAAGTTGCTTACACTGAGAGATCATTGTGCATACTCGCAGAAACTTGCATTCAGGGCTGGTTGCTAGGCTCTACAATTGGTGACACTTGCGTTTCTGGCATTGCAGAGAAAGTTCGTTTATCTGGATATATTGAAAATAAAGACACAGCTTTCCCCTCTTAACTCAACATCAGTCGTCGCATACAGATCATGCCGCGCGAAGCCATGGTTTGTACTGTGTCTTGGTCAAGTAACGGGCGGAGAGCATTTAAAATGTCCATGGAAGAGACTGCCCCGAAGACGCACTAAAATGGGTCCAGTCTGCAGTTAATGCGGGGTATATCAGGATTCATTTATTCGATGTCCTGTACATAAATGTCGAATGCCGCTGCGTCCGGTGTTGGTCGTGCAAACCGCCTCACATTCAACCCACCTCCCTGGAGTGCAGGCAGTGCGCAGCATCCCCGGTGTTATGGGATGTTTATCGTTTCTGTGCTCCCTTGATTGGCCTCGGCCGCAGGTGAGGCTTCTTGGCAACGGAGAGGGCAATAGCGGCCTTATCCAGCCCCAATGTACAGAAATAACCAAGGTTCCTCCCAGATAGAAGGAGTTCCGGTGGCAGCACCATTGTCTGGCGCTACCAGCCTTCGGAAAAGCTCCTCGGCTACCATCATTGTCCAAGACGACCGCAGTGCAGTCAGTTTGTCTGATCGTGCCGCGCACTTCAAGGTTCGCCGAAATTCTTCCGCCAAAAGCTCCATTGCGCGGAGAAAATCTAGCATTTTATCCTTTTCTTTCACCCCGGGCAGCCGAAGAAATACGAACGAAAGCCTTCAGTCTACGAGGCTAACATCGCCTCCCTTCGACGAAAATATGGCCGACATTTCTTACGGGAGCCTGAAGCGGCACATGGTGATCCCTAAACTCGAGCCTAATGATCGGTTCCTACCCCGTTCGTCCCTTGAGAAACTGGTGACCGAGGCGTCTGTCACTGATGCCTTAGAGCAAGAGCAAGAAAACAATCCCATGGACATTCCGAAGCTAGTTGCTTTCATTTGTGGCAAGCATGGAGCGAAGAAAATATTCGCTATTCTGGTGTGGACCGAGCAGGTCTCTTTGATTAAATGGTTCTACGAGAATGGAGTTGTAGACGACATGCTTCCGATTTATGAGGACCCAAAAGACTACGTCTACAAGACACTTGGAGGAAGACACTCCAACAAAGACGCCATCAAAAGACTGATTAAAACTTCCAGGTGGTCCGCCCAAAGGATCGACGCCTTTTGCAATCACGATCAATGGCAGTTTCTGGTTCCAGTATTTCGCGAAAGCCAATTCAAGTACTCTTTCGACATACAGTGTCGAATGCCATTTCTTCGCAAGCAAACAGATCCAAAGGACAGCCTTTTCAGTACTGTTGAACAGATCTGCATCCACAAAGCTCACTTGGAGCCAGGTTCGAATACTGTGAGTGTCTATATGATGGCTTCCCGTGATCTCCATTGCCATTTGAGAAGGACTGGCTAATAAATGTTCTAGCATCTTTCGTTCGACAAGGAAGGTCACCCTTTAGTGGCGATTAAATCGTTGAAGGATCTCAATCGGAGCAACATAGATTTTCAGCGCGCGGCTGACACTGAAGCCGAAGTACTGCAAATGATCAGAGACCTGCGTCATCCTCACCTCATCCGAGCCATTGCGTATTACACTAGGGGCAATCAACACTTCTTGGTGTTCCCATGGGCGGCAGGTGGAAATTTGCGTGATTTCTGGCAGAAGGATCCGCCTCGGAAACTTGATGCAGATTTCTTGGCCTGGGCCTTCACCCAGCTTTCTGGTCTGGCATCGGCAATGGAGAAACTTCACTCATCAGACCGAAATTGCCGGCATGGAGATCTTAAGCCCGAGAACATTCTCTGTTTTGAGAACACCAATCGTGCTGACGCCCTCGTACAGCCTTGGCTTGTCATAGCAGACGTCGGACTTGCCAGAGACCACAATCAAGCAACCGAATTTCGAATAGGAGCCACCAGCACATTGAGCGGAACGGTCATGTATGAGGCACCAGAGGCTGTCATACGCAAAGACAAGCCGCGATCTCGTCGGTACGATATTTGGTCCATTGGATGTCTCTACTTTGAATTTCTCATCTGGATGTTGTACGGAAAAGACCAGCTTTCTCGCTTTGGACAGGATATTACATCCCCAGATGGTTCGCGCAAGTTCTTCGAAGTCATTGGACCTGGGACAGCAAGACTCAAACCACGAGTTCAGAAGTGGATTGAATGGATCAGCGGAGATCTGCGCTGCTCGGAGACCACAGCCGTCCACCGTCTTTTGCAGCTTATCCGCCTCAGACTGCTCGTCGTTGACGTAGGCACGGTCAGAGCGTGGACGCCGGGAAGCGCTCGAACCCAAGGCAGAGCAACGATTCGCGAGGCTGATGAAGTTACCCCGGGCATCATTCGAACTTACACCAACACCGCCGACATTACAGACGGATCGGACATGTCCTCTCGAGCCACTGCACTTGAAATGGATGATACTCTAAAACTTATCTTGGACGATGCAACTAGCTCTCGGACGGAGACACAGTGGATGAATTGGCAAGCACGCTCACCAGGAGCACCGGGACAGTATGGGAATACATTGGCGCCCTCCGATTTAGGTATCCACCGAAGGCCGGGACGTGGATGAACCAGGTCATGAATGACTTTGCTAGGTACCATTTCCCCTCAAAGCACCAAACCCCAACCCGCAGAAGAATCGGACCCGGGTGTCACCAGTAATGGTGGCAATTTCAACATGGATGTAGGGTTGCGGCTGTTCCCGACTTCGTTCGAGAAAAGAAACTAATCGTTGTAGTATGTGCGTCAAATCACAGTGAATTGAAGGCTCTGAGACATAGCTAATGGCTACCCTTGATATCAGAATGTAAGTGTAGTGATCATTATGTATCCATATTCCCCCTTCCCAGGAAGCAGACTAACATTGTGTAGTTTGTATGGATATTTGTTCTTGCGAAACCCTGTCTCGTCGCTGATGTCCCAATCGCAGACGGTTTGTTCCCAACTCTTCAGAAACAGCCAGTTTTCCCAGTCTAATTTTCCAGCCGGTGAGTAAATCTTTTCCTCAATTTTGTATTTGAACATACTAGGATGCTGATAGCTCGGCCGATGTAGCTCGATGACGACTGGGAGTTCAATCCCGACCACGGCATTGCAAGATCTGTTCTTGATGAGGTTGGAGAACATACTCCCGAGCCGCGCGACGAGGGTATTCTGCTTTGCTCTCGTTGTCGTAAGCTGTCTCTGTGGTCTCTTAACTGCGAGTTCTCGGACACACCAAATGGCTTGGCTGTCAAAGCGAGAGACTGCATGCTTTGCCGCTTGTTGTCAATGGCCACCGAGTCATTTGTGAACAGGCTCTACCACACCATCAAGTTTTCGAGGTTCAAGACGTACCTTGTAACAAGCGAAAGGCCGAGGCAACCGATAGCATGTCTTTATGTAACTCCAGGTATACATCATATCCATGCATGGAACTTGTTCTTCACGAATACATGCTGATCAGCGCTGGAGGTTTTCCACTTCTCAACATGCAACTTGGCGTTCCCCAACTCCGAACCCCTGGACACACACTGCACATCAAACTCATCGCTCGATGGATTCGCGACTGTGACCAGAGGCACGACTGCTGCCCCCATAGCGACACATTTCTTCCCACGAGGGTAATCGAAGTTGGGAATAGCGATTCGAAACAATGCCGACTGATTTGTGCAAACCGCGGCCAGACCAGCCCAGGCAAATATCTCGCTCTCTCTCACCGATGGGGCTCGCCTGACCAACACCGGAAGTTTTGCACCCTTTCATCCAATATTGACAGCTTCCGGCAAGGCATCAACATGGCTGAATTGCCCCGTACCTTCCAAGATGCCATCAACACCACGCGAAGTCTTGGCGTCGATTACCTTTGGATCGACTCCCTTTGTATCGTCCAGGATGACCCTGATGATTGGATAAAGGAATCTCGTCTGATGGAGCGCGTTTACAGCTCCGCGTACGTTACTCTTGCCGCAAGCTGCGCCAATGGTACCGAAGACGGCTTTTTGAAGCCGAGGCCATTTAGACATTGCGTTAAGATGAGATCACAAAGAGACACGCCATACTACGTTTGCAACTCGATTGATGACTTTGGTCGCGATGTTGACCAAGGAGAGTTGAACAAACGAGCATGGGTACTACAGGAGCGGGCGCTTTCACGTCGCACCATATACTTCACCGAAAATCAAACATACTGGGAGTGCGGAAATGGTGTGAGATGCGAGACCTTCACAGCAATGACCAAGTAAGCTCCCGTCCGGAAACAAAACAAAAAGGCTCCCGGTAGAAAGTAGAGTAACAATGGTGTAGTCGCAAAGCATCTTTCCTCGGAGACTCAAATTTCCCCCACTCCATCGACGGTCATGTCAGGGGCATGAAAATTCAGCTTTTCCAGGGCCTTTATGAGAGATACTCAGATCTCGCTCTTACTTCGAAAGGCGATAGGCCTGTCGCCATACGTGGTCTTGAAATGCGGTTGATTCGCACATTCAAGACAGTCGGCGGGTTCGGCATGTTCGAATGCTACCTGCATCGATGCCTACTATGGCATCGTTCAGGGCCGCATCTCAAGCGCATCGATAAGAATTTGTTCCGCGGCGATCGCGTACCGTCATGGTCGTGGATGGCATATGATGGTGGAATCAGATACTTGGATGTTCCTCTTGGAGGTGTTTCCTGGGCTTCTGATATTGTGTCACCCTTTCAGCAGTGGACGCCTCAAGAAGCTAACAAGACGGACGAGTTGGACAAGCCATGCGAGATTCAAGCACCCACGTGGGAGCTTGTAGCACCTCAAAGCCTCCCTCTGAAGTTAGATGAGTCTGACTATGATGGGTTTGCTAGTCTTAGTTGTATCATTCTCGCAAGGACCAAAGAGGAGCAGAATGAGATGACGCGGTCTTTCTTCGTCATCATCACTCGTCCTGTCAACGCAGACTTCAAAGAGCGGCTCTGCGAGAGAGCTGGAGTTGCCGTTCTGAAGGAAGAGCATATCGCTTTCAGCAAAGGAAGTCGAGCATGTAACCTCGTGTGAGCTAGGTATTACGCTCTGTCAATTAGTTTCTATGCCTCGACTCTGTCAGCAATGCTTTCTTGGATCTCGGCCTTAACTGAATAACACTTTTCGATCGAATTGAGAAATTCGTGCCATTCAATGCCTCGACCGTTCTACAGCCATATTCCCGGCAATGTCCGGGGTCTTTCTCCGACCACCCCTGCTGGTCGGGACCCCTCCCGCGGAAGCCCCTCCGACTTATCATGCTGTCCGTATCTTCTTTATTCAACGATATTATCCGCACCCAGACTTCCGGCTGAGGGGTTCGGATGCTAATGATACCTTATCTTCCAGTGGGGTAAGGAGGATCGTTGGAGAGAGGCCGTCACGCGGTTGCAACGTGCCGCCATTGTCAAGGGATCCCAACGGTGGACTTTAGAGTTCGACGGTAATTGGACAAGCATTCGCCGTGCCGGGACGAGACCTGTCAAGACGATAAGCGGGAACGCCGCCTCCCCCCCCCCCCTCCCCTCTTTCCGGGGAAAACGGGCAGCCATTTCAAAAGTTCCACCCTTCCCCTCCCCCAGCCTCGGTCTAGATAACTGACCACGAACGAGAGCGATTCCGCCTTTGGAATTGGGTGGGGAAGACGCGCCTCTGATAACGATTGCTCTCGAGCTGGGATCCATGGCACGTTACGGTTGAATGCTCGGGTGACCGTTATCATTACCATGGGCGACGTAGGCAACTTCCTTCTTCGGGGATGAGCTGGTCTCGATTCAATTGACCAATGGACTTATATGAGGGATGCGTCGGGCACATTTCATGCTACCTTAGGCTACTGTTTCCCGTCTCCTCCCCGCAGACCGACGACGTCCGGTGACTCTTGGATATTGAAGGAGTCGGTGAGCCATTGGGCTCAATTGACCTTGTACTGCTAACCCCCAGTGGCCACGTACCCTTTCACAGCAATCAAGATGACATCTCCCGACTCAACGCCCGTTGCAGTTGCCGATGAGAAGCATCATGGGGTAGATGTATCGCAGGCAGCTGACGACCTGGAGAGATTCCAGCGCGACCATCAATGGGACCCAAACCTCTCCGCAGAGAAGGCCGACATGGTCAAGAAGGCGCTACAAGATGGAGATTCTGAGGAGATCATCACTGCCGACGCCATCCTCACGGAGGACTCGCCCTACGAAGAAGTCAGAGCCGCGGTTCGCAACACTGATGGCGAAGAGGTTGCGAACACGGTCCGCGCCTGGGTTCTCGGAATGATTTTCGTTACAATTGGCAGTGGACTGAACATGTTCTTGAGTATGAGGTAAGAGACCAAGGGACTTCTATGACACAGGCCTACAGCTAACTGAAATGTGTCAACAGGAGTCCAGCCATCAACTTTCCCTCAATCATCGTCCAGTTGCTCGTCTACCCGATCGGTTGCTTATGGGCAAAAGTAATGCCAACGAAGGTGTTCAACACATTCGGCCTTCAGTGGACCCTCAACACCGGACCCTTCACAATCAAGGAGCACGTCGTCATCACTCTGATGTCCAACGTTTCCATCAGCTACGCCTACAGCACCGACGCCCTTCTCGCACTGCAGGGCAAGCCCTTCTACGACATTAACCTTGGATGGGGCTTCCAACTGCTCTTCACACTCAGCTCTCAGCTGATTGGAATCGGTCTCGCCGGTCTCTGCCGCAGATTCCTCGTCTGGCCGTCCGCCATGATCTGGCCAAACCAGTTCGCCAATACATCTCTCTTTTACGCTCTGCACGATAAGAGCAAAAGCGACGGCACGCACAGCAACGGCTGGGTCATCAGCCGATACCGATACTTCTTCTACGTCATGGGAGCCATGTTCATCTACTACTGGATCCCTGGCGTCCTTTGGCAAGGCCTGTCAGTGTTCGCCTTCATCACATGGATCAAGCCGAACAACGTGGTGGTGAACCAACTCTTCGGAGGCTTCACTGGCCTTTCGCTGATCCCCATCACGTTTGACTGGACTTACGTCTCTGCTTATCTTGGCGATCCTCTCCTGTCTCCGACGCATACTCACATCAACGTTTTGATTGGTCTTTTCGTCTTCGTTATCCTCCCGACCATCGGCATCGCCTACACAGGCGCACTTTTCTCGGAATACCTACCCATCAACACCTCGCAGACGTACGATAACACCCAAGGCAGCTACAACGTGAGCAAGATTCTTGGTGCAGGATACACATTTGATGAGGCGAAATACAAAGAATACTCGCCCCTCTTCCTTGCCCCAACATTTGCCCTCAACTATGGTCTGTCTTTCGCCGCTCTCACCGCAGCGATTGTTCATACCGGTCTTTTCCACGGAAAGGAGATTTGGTACCGACTCAAGACGGCCCGCAACCAGGAGCCCGATATCCACATGAAGCTGATGAAGAAATATCGCGATGCGCCTGAGTGGTGGTATGCTGTCCTTCTCGTCATTGCCGTTGGCCTTGGTCTGGCTACTGCTGAGGGCTGGGACTCGCAACTGCCATGGTGGGCATTCTTCGTCGCAAACTTCCTGGCGACAGCTTTTGTCGTCCCAACTTGCACGATTCTGGCCATCTCTAACT